TTTTTTTTTTTTTTTTTTGGTACAGGGTTCGAACTTGGGTCCTTGTGCTTGTGAGGCAGGCGGCAGGATCACTGAGCTAAATCACCGGCCCCTCCTTGGTGGATTTTTATCCGTATCCTTTTGATGAAGCAAACCATAACTGAACTTAACAGGTCTTCTCAGTTCTGCAGGTCCTTCTAGTGAATCACTAAACCTGAGCGTGGTCCCACAGATCATAACACAACTGCTTCTTAAGAGGTTTTGCAGAGAAAGGAGCAAAGACCTAGAGGATAGAGATGGGTATTGTCTGTCTCATGGCAGGGATTATAAGGAAGAGACATGCAGGTGGGTGAACCGTGTGCCCTTTGGCATGACAAGACCAGGAGGAGTTGGTAACTCAGGAGGCATTGTCCAAGTCGAAGGGGCAGGGGTTGTTCAAAGGTGACAGGAGGAAGCCAAAAATATGGGCAGATTTGATGAACTAAGAGAGCCAGCATGGTGGCGCACACCTGTAATCCCAGCACTCTAGGAGGCTGAGGCAGGAGAGTCACAAATTTGAATCCAGCCTGGGCAACTTAGCAAACGCCTGTAAAAAAAAGAAAAAAAAAAAAAGACAAGAAGAAGAAGAGAAAAGACTGGAGATGTGTGGGCTGGGGATTTAGCTCAGTGACACTGTGCCTGCCTCAAAAGTCCAAGGTCCTGAGTTTGATCAGTGGTCCCAGAAAAAAAAGTCTAAAGATGTAGCTCAGGGCAAAGGCCCTCGAGGGTGCAGGGAGAAAGAGAAAAAGAAAAAAGAAAAGAACTAGGAGGTAGGAGTGTCACCCCTGTGTGTGCAGGGCTGGGGGTGGAGGGCTGTAGATATGAGGCTGGAGAGGATATCACTGCAGCATTTGGGGAACAAGGCTTCAAACAAAGCAGTTGTATTAAGCTTGCTGAGTGGGAAGAAACAAGTGTCGAGCTCTCGGGCCATGAATTTCAGATGAGAGTCAGCTGCATCAGAACCTGGTGCTTTCACCCCTGCATTCAGCTGCGCAGGTGCTGGTGTGGTGCAGGTGGAGAGAGGATTTCCCCAGGGTTGGCTGTTGCCAGCTCTGTGGGACAGAGGGAGAGAAGTTGGCAAGTAAATCAGTGCAGGAGAGGATAAACAAGGTGTGTCTGCCTACCGCGCGGTGTTCAAGGTGGATCTCAGTGGGAAGTTATTAAAAACATTTTTATTTTAAAACAAATCTGGATTCATTCTGGCGTAGTACTAAAAATGGCACATGGATTTTCCAGGCACCTTAGCACACTTCCAGCATGGCTTTTCTGTTTGATGGGCTGCTTTCTGCTACCTCCCGGTCCTCCGGGGCTGAATTCACTTTCTGGGAGCTTGGGAAAAGTTTGGGAACTCTATTCTGCCCCTGCCTGGGCCTCAAACAGTGACCATATTGGGAAAGGGCCTCTAAGTTGAAGTGGACAGGGAGGCCCAGGAACTAGACGGAGCCCCTGCAGGCAGTTGGGTGGGGGCAGCAGACTCTGCGGCTAGTCTGGGAGTCCATAAAGGGGTCCAGGCAGGTCATGGCGAGGGGCTGAAATACGATGGGGTCCTTCCCTCTCCCCACTCTAACTCTCCAGGACCCCAAGGGGTGCGACACTCTGGGGGCCCGGGCAAGTAACTAACTCAGATAGATTGGGTCCTAGGAACAAGGGAGGGACCTGGATCCCAGAACTGGGGCACAAGGTGGGAAATGGGTGTTCGGAATGAGGCCAATCATCAGAACTGGGCCACTTTCCATGTGGGACTTGTGTTCCTTGCTGCCTTCGTATTTCTGAGCCTGGGAGCTGGCAGAACCGGGCAGGCTGGGGGCCTATTTGGAGTGGGTAAGGCTTTGGGGCACTGCTATGTGCGGTCTCCTTAGGATAGCATCTCCCTCTCCCCCCACTAAGAAAGAGCCTCTGAGTAAACGGCATGTTTATTTTGAACACTCAAATTTACAAAAACAAAAAGGTAACAAAAATCATGACAGAGGCCACACACACTCACACTTACACACGCGTTGCATCTCAGGTCACTTTATATACAAAAGAGGAGGGGTTGGGACACCCGGGGAGGGGGTAGGGGCACTGATTTCACGTACGACTTGACATGCGCACTGCCTGCTCAGCCTGGACCATGAGAGCCCCTTCCCCACCCGGCGGGGGCAGGGGCAGGGAGGGAGGTTAGGCCTGGGGTGGCAGACAGCTGGAATAAAGGGGTGAAGGGGCTCCCACCTAGGAAGGGGGCCCCTTTGCCAGTTTGTTCAGGCCAGGGGTGCTGGGACACATAGGAGGGACCCAATTCTTGAGTGAGAGGGGTCACTGTGTCGTGTAAGGTCAGAAAGCTGGGTTCAGGATTGCCACGTTTCAGTGGAGTGGCCTCACAAACCCTCCCCAAGCCTCGGCTGCCTGTAAAGTGGGGGGATTCCGTATCCTCTAGGAGAAAGATTTCCTGCCTAAGTCTGTGGTCCCAGGCCATGCTCAACTGTGCTGGGAGATCATCCCCTTGGGACTTTGGAGGCGTGGGGCACCAGATGCCACGAAGGTGGGAAAATCTGGCAGAGAACACTTATGAAGCACCCGGCGTAGGGCTTGTCCCAAAGCAGGAGCCCGAGGAGCAGCAGCTCCCCTGTCCCACGCCTCAGACACCAGGAGACATCTTGCCTCCCCCAGCTGTCCCGGACATGGCAGCCCCTTAGAGGGGGCAGAGGCTGAGGCCATGCGTGGGCAGGTGGGACATGGGACATATTTTCAGGGAGGTGGAGACTCCTCCTATGACTCTCGACGCTGGCCCTGGAGCCCACCCATCCTGCACCTGAGTGCCCTGTCACTTGGAATGCTCTTGAAATACACCTGGAGCAAAGCACGGGAATTTCACTCGGCAGGGTTAGGCAGCGCTTGTCCCCTGGGGCTGGGGTGGGGGTTGAGGGCTGGACCAACTCAGGATGACACTTGCGCCCCCTCTGGCTGTCTGATCACTCTGGGCAGGTGGCTTCACTTCTGCGAGGCCCAGCTTCATCCCCTGTATCTTGGGGCTAAGAACGGTCCGAATACATAGCTGCACTGGGGTATGAGCATCAGCTGCTAAGAAGCAGGACCTCTGCGGAGCAGCTCAGGGACACAACGGAGAGCCAAGTCCAGCTCTCCCTTCCCTGCCTTCCCTCTATCTCCCCAGGAGCAGTAGAAGTTCCACAACCTGACTCCAAACAGCAGGTGCTTAGTAAATGACCCTAGAACAATCCACAGCTGGCGGGGCAGGGGGCTGTGGAAACAGGGAGCCAGGCCCTTCTGCAGGGATCCACACCCACAGCCCACAGCCCAACATCCCCACTTGCCCCCTTCCCTCCTGAGGCTGACCAGGGTGACAGGCACGGGAACGAGGCTCAGAGTCAGATGTCTCGTCACCACTGTGACAAAGCACAGAGGATTTGTGATGACACTCAAGTCTGGGTGGGCTCAAGTGGCCAAACAGGTTCTGTCACACATCCCCCTCATAAGACCTGTCCTCCGTGAAAGCTACTTCTTCCGAAACAATTGCAAAAGCTTTTCAATCTCAGTGTCCCCGGAAATCCATGTGCTGAATTCGGCCATCACCCTGGCGATACTGTGTGTCATGGTGATGAGACTTGACCTAGCACTTGGGCTGATGTCACTGACTGTTACCAGGGCAACCCAGTCTCAGCAGGTCCTGGCTGAAGCCGTCATGGCTCTGGCTTCCAGGGGGAGTTGGATGGGAGGTGCTGAGCCATCTCTGAGTACTCTTGAAATGGAAACAAGGAGCTGGGGGCTAGAGGCAGCACATCCTGGATGCGCGTCCCCAGCACTGGGCCCCACAGCCTGCGTCACATCTCTGAGTGGCTGTGGGGAGCCAAGACGGGACAGAAAGGGGGGCAAGAGTCAGCTTGTCACTGCCCAGATGCCGGGGAGGGACCGGCAGAGGGAGGGACATCCCTGCTGCATCGTCAGCTGTCCCTCTGCCACAGTGCCAGGGATCCAGGTATTGCATTAAAAAATGTTCCAGAGGATGGAGTGGAGGAAGAACACTGAAACCTTGGGTTCTAATTCTGGCCCTTTTGCTGTGTGACTCTGTAAGTTTTGCCTTCTCTGAGCTCATCTCCATCTGTCATAAAGCAAGAGTTCAGAGTGAATGATTTTTCTCAGCTCTTATATTCTACTCTTGTTGGGAGCTGGTAAAGTAAAGATTCAAGGATAGGAACCAGAAATCCAAGCAGCCGTCTGAGACAATCCCAGACAGACTGGAATGCCAGGTGAGGAGACAACTGATGTTTTTAGACCGTGTATGAGCCTGCTTAGCCTGGAACCTTGCCCTTGACCCTGACCGCAGAGCCAACTGCTGACCTAACCCACGCCCAGCCTGACTCTCCTTGCTGCCCAGTTCCAGGACCCTCCCCTGCCAGCCCCGGGATCTCTAGGATTGCCCTGCTTTACCTGCCGAGGATCTCAAGTCATCTCACACTGGCTCTGCAGAGCTCTGGGAGTGACGCACAGGGAACAAAGCAAGGCTCCCGTAGGGCAGGCACTCACAGGGGCCACATGGCTTGGTGATGTGGCTCCGACAGCAGCGATGCTGCCTGGGCTGCTGTGTCTGCCTGAAGCTTCCCCTAGCTCAGGATATGGGGTCCCGGACCTGTCCTGGGCATGGAGGAGGAGGGGACCATGGCAGTGGGCACAGGGGTTACTACAGCCCTTGGGCTTTGGGGCCTCTTGGTCCCTAGCTCTCCAGGCTGGAGCTGGGAAGGGAATGTCCTGGAAACTGAAATGGGGCTGCACCAGGCAAGGAACCAAGATTCAAACCGCTGCACACAGAAGAGGAAGGGGTCGAGGGTGGGGAGGCTCCCAGGTGGGCAGCTGGCGGGAAAGGGGAGAAGGTGAGTCTGATGCCCCGAGTCTCTGTCATCCACTTCTACAGCCTTCTGTGGCCCTGGAGGGGACAAGCCCAGGCCTGCAGCATAGGGGCCACCCCACAACAACCCCGTGCGGGTGCTGTTGGGATCAATGGATGGGGGAGGGTGGGGTGGGGAGAACACTCCTGTGTAGTGCCAGGAGGGCCAGAGCCAGGACTCACCCCAGGCTTCACTGTAGACTTAAGATGCTTGTCCCCACCCAGGGGACACCCACCTCAGGACAGGGCATTCTGGAGGAGCGGGTGCAGGTGAGGGAAAGAGGGAGGCACGGGCAGGAGTGGGCAGGAGGAAAGGACAGCACGCGGACAGGCTGAGGGGGGAAGAGCCCCCTCAAGGTCCCCGAAGTGGCAGGCATGGGAGGGGCCCTGGACGAGGTGGCCTTCACGCCTTGGTCCTCCCCTTGCAGACATCGAAGGTAGCCTTTTTGGCACCCCCGAAGGTCTCCACCAGCTTGTCTTCCCAAGGGAGGACGTTGCCCAGCAGTGATGCAGTACAGTTGGCAATGCCCAGGACCTGGGCAGGTGTCAGCACATGGTCCCACAGGTTAAACTGGGCAATGTCACCAACAAAGGCCTGGGTGGCATCAAATCGGCCTCCCAGGGTATCCTGGGCCAAGAGAGCAGCAGAGAAAGGAGAGACATGGAGTGAGGAAGCAGAAGAGATAACAACCTCAGAGTCAGGCTCTGTCCCTGCTGAAGCCCTGCCCCACGCCCCAGATTCTGTCTGCTAAGGCTCTAGGATCACCCTCAAAGTTCTAACCCCACCCGCAAGGTTCTAGCTCCACCCCCAAGTTCTGGCTCCACCCCAAGGCTATAGTCCCACCCCCAAGGGCAGCCCTTTTGCCAGGTCTCTCACTTTCCCTGTCCCTCAGTTTGTCCCTCTGCTGAAAAGTGGGGTCAGACTTAGGGTCACTGCTATCTTCGTGTTCTCTCTCCTCATGCCCTCCTGCTCATGCTTACTGCCAGGGCAGGATAAGCACTTGGACCTGCAGCCAATCCCTGTCCGAGGCTTACCTGCTCCTGGCCCAGAATAAGGATGCCATGAGGCTTGATGGGGTGCCAGGCTGCCAGATTCTCCCCGGAGCCCCGCAGCTCCCCATCCTGGTAGGCAGACCACAGGCCATCCCTTGTGGTCCAGGCAATGCAGATGTGGTGCCAGCTGTTGTCCTTCAGACTCATTGGCAGCTGGGCCACCTGGACAAACGGCCCCAAACTCCAGGTCAAAGGGGCCACAAGCCCGAGGCTGGAGCAGGGGATTGGGAGGTGGGGAGACTTTCACCCAGGGGCCAACCCCAGTCCTGATCCTCCTTTCCCTCGGCCAGTTCTCCCCTGACCCCTGGCTCCTCCACCCTCACAGCTTCCCTAGGGTGCTGGAACTGTCCAGTTTTCCCAGTGCACAAGGTCCCGAGGGTGGTGGCAGCACTATCCATAGAGCTCGGCACATGCCTAGGACTCAGAAGCACTGGCACTGACAGAATGGGGTTCAGACAGAGCTCAGACACCAGTCTCTGACCTTGGTTCTGCCATCAACCATGTGTGACCATGGTGGGGCTCAGTTTCCCCATCAGGAAAGTGCAGGGTTCAGACAAGGGAGGGCACAAGTGCAGCCATCACCTCTTCCACCACCCAAGGCAGACATGACCAATTGATCCCGAGCCTGACTCAGCCTAGGCTCTCTTATCACAGTGCTCCAGAAGCCTGTGCTAATGGATTGGAGTTGGCCTGTGAGATGAAAGAAACGTGCTGTATATGGTGCTCCCAAAGGGCTCCTCTGCTGTGTAGGTTCTCTGAGATCACAATTCTACACAGCATTCTCTGAGACCTCCTTGGTGAACTGTGTCTGCACAGGAGGGAGGGCTTCAGGGACAACACTGCCACATGAAACAGCACAGGACCACTGGTGAGGCGCAGGAGGTGTGAAGGCTGACAGGAAGGGGACATGGCACAGAAGTATCCAGAAGGACCCTGGGATCCATTGTTAGCCCAGCAGTATCAGTGGGCAGCCTATGCCTGCGTCCTGTCCATGGTGCTGAAATCCTTCACCTCGAGGGCTTTCCCTTGAGCAGGCCGAGGACAAAGGGCAGCAGCCAGGAGGGTGGTGACCAGAGCAAGGCACAGTTCTAGATGGAGTTCAGCTACCTCAGTCTTAGAGCTTATGGGGCCACAGGACAGACTCGCTGTTCCCTGGGCCTCCTCCTCTTTCTTCCAGGACACACATGAAAGGTATCACTTGGCCTGCCTGGCTGTTGGCTGGCCCCAGCAGGGGAGTGTGATCAAAAGATCACCATGCCTGCAAGGCCAAAGCAGGCAGGGGAGGAACTTTGGGAGAAGTGATTGGCCAGGGGAGGGCCGGGGGTGCAGGAGGCCTGGGTGTGAGGAAGATTGGAGGGGTTAAGAGGTAGTTCCTGGAGCCCAAGACCCTGAATCACAACCTCATCCATCTCGTGCTGTCTGTCCAGGGAGCACTGCCTCTCTCCGAGCCTCTCTTCTCCATCTGCAAAATGGGAGCAGTGCAGGCACCTGCCTCACTCACAGCTGGGAAGGTTGAGAGTGCTGAGGAGACTGAGTGCTTCTCCACGGTGCCTCACACAGGCAAACAGCTCACACCTAAGGAAGCTGGCTGACTGCTAGGCTCTGCTCAGAGTTCCCTACTTGCACATAAGGCTTCTATTTCTCATCCTAGCCCCAAGCGGTAAGGACTGTTATCATTCCCGTTTTACAGCCAAGGCACTTCCCTCCCTTCCAAGAGAATGAGCAGGGCATTGGGCACCTGCACCTGCAGCCCTGCCCCACAGCCAGGTCCCCTCAAAGGTCCTTCTTTCACCTCTGTGCACCTCACTGACCCATCGCCACAGAGGCGACAACACTGCCAGCCCCTCTTCAGCCTACCCTGCATCTGGTTTGTCTCTGTATTATTCCCAGAGCCCAGCCTGGCACAGAGTAGGCACTTAAGGTATGCCACGGCTGCAGAGTGGCAGAATGAAAGCGCCAGCCCGCACGTGGGGGGTCCTGGGAGGGTGACCCCCACCCCCACCCCCGGCCCTGCCCACCTTGTCGTTGATCAGCAGCTCCATGGGCTCGTGGCCCGCCTCCAGCAGCACGATCTCGTTGGCCTGCCCAGGCACCGAGTAGGAGAAGGGTGTGCCCTGGCCCGTGCCACCTGACCTGGACCGCAGCCACATGCAGGTGGTGAAGGCGTAGAGCTCGGGCAGAGCCTTCCGCACGCGGGCGTACATGTAGTTGTTGCGGATGGGGATGCCGACCTTGAAGGCTTCTGGGGGGCTGTAGGCCGAGGACCCTGGGGGTGGGCATGGTGGGGTCAGAGGACACTGCCCAGGGCAGAAGGAGGGCTAATGGTTCCTGGCCACCTGATGTGTGTCAGGAGCCCTCACCCCCTTTTCTACTCTGCCTCTGTGCTCAGGGACATGGCTAACGCCCAAGGCCTCTGGATCTGCGTGTCCCAAGTTCAAACCCTACCTTTACCACTTCTCGGCTCTGTGACTTCCAAAAAATTAAGCTTAACCTCTCTAGCTTCAGCTTCATCCCTAAAATAGGGTCATATTTCCTCCCTGCCAGGGCTGTGTGAGGATCAGGTGGCCAGAATATGTGGAAGGTCTGGCCCATATTCATGCTCAGCAAAAGTTAGCTGTGATTATTATCATTATTTAGAGTTCTTTGCCACTTAGGCATTCCATCCTCTTTCTGATTGGCAGGCATTGTTCTAAGCATTCTTACATATGTTATTTCATGCCTCAGAGCACCTTCCACTATTGCCACCCTCATTTACACATGAGAACATCATGACACAGAAATGCTAAGTTATTTTCTCAAGGCCACACAGCTCGTGAAGGGTAGAGCTGGGATTCAAACAAAACAGCTGACAGATGTTGAGCTTAGAGCCAGGGCTCCTGATGTCCATGCCTGTACACTGTCCATTATGCTTCTCTGTCCCCCTGGCAGTGCCCAGCTTAGGTGTTAAACAAACGACAAAAATCCTAATTCACTGAAGGTGCCATTTGTGGGTGGTTGAATGCATGACCAGGGGTCTAGACTTTGTTTGAGGTCTAGATTCTTGACTTACTGACTGTGTGACCTTCGGAAAATCAGTTGGCCTCTCTGAACCTCAGTTTTCTCACCTGTGAAAAGCCCTGTGCAGTCTGTGAAGGTGAAATTAGCAGGTGTGTGCAGCCCTTAGCTCACTCTAACAACACAGTAGTGTCAGAAAATTGCAATTGCTAGTGATCACTTTGAGCACAACGATATTCTTTCTCTTCCTCTTGCGTCCTGTAGCCTCCTCCCCACCATCCTGTCCACCTTGGCCTCTGGAGAGCACCAACATGTTGTCAAGTGGCTCTGTCTCCCCAGCTGCCCTGGGGACCCAGGTCTCGTCCACACCGCCCTCTCTGTGGGACCCACCGTGTTCCAGCTCCGTCACACGTCCCTGTAGGGCGTCCAGCTCCTTCTCTACCTCCTGGCGCTGCCGGTGACTGCTGTGGCTGAGAGCCGCACGCTCCTTCTCCAGCGCCAGCACCTTGGCCAGCAGCTGCCCCTCCAGCTCGTCCATCTTGGAGTGCAAGGCAGTGGGTGCTGCGGGTGCCGGGGCAGGGGCGGCTGAGAGGTTCACACGGGCTGGGAGCTCCTGCTGCTCACAGGGCAGAGGAGGGATGTGTGAGGTCACAGGCACGGGGCTCTGAGATGCCACCACCCTGTGCAGTGACCCCGGTCGGCCTCAGAGTCCCCATATGCAAAATGGGGACAGAAATAAAACTGTGGGCAACCAAGCTTGGCACTGGCAAGAGAATGTGGGAAGCGAAGGAGCAGAAGCAAGACAGTTGCCCCTCTACTGGCCCATCAGTACACAGCCTTCCAGCAAGAAGTGTGTGGGCAGCAGCTCTCGCAGAGACACCGAGGGCCTTCCCACCCCTTTACTATTACCCCACCACCCCACTCCTCCACCACGGCCTGGACATCCTTGAGGACAGGGCCAGCTCTGTCTCTGTGACCTCCAGCTCCAGGGAAAGAGCTGCTGGATGTTAGTGGTCTCCAGGGACACTTCTGTGGCTGTGGCTGGTCTTGCCATCCCAGGCAGACCTAGAAGCACAAGCCAGGGTCTTCTGGAATAGGACTCTGGTGTCATGGTCTTTCTGGGGAGACATGTGGTTAAGATCCCAGACTGGAGTCAGACAGCTCAGGGCTCAGGTCCAGCTCGGCCACCGATCTGCTGTAAGACCCTAGGAAAAAAATCCCTTGATCTCTCTGAACTTATTTCCTCATGAGACAACTGCACCTATTTGGAAGGGCTGTGGGGAGGGTTACCTGGCAAATGCTAAATATTGCCACTACCGTGTAGGGTCAAGCGGTCCAGGTTGCACTCCGACACCCCGTCTAGGGGAGGATGACAGCAGTGTCCCTCCTCCTAGCAGTCAGGAGACCTGAGGCAGAAGCTGGGAGCCCCTCCTTCCCCCTTTCCTGGGGCACAGGAAAGCCACAAGTTCGACTTTTGGAGGGGCAGTCTCTGGTGGATATGTCACAGGAACATCAGTAGATTAATAATTCACTGGGAGTCAAATAAGAAGCATTTACTGTCTGCCTGACTTCTTCCACACTCTGAAGTCCCCACTGGTAAGCCCCTTGCACTCTCCCCTGGGGCCTGAGCGGTTCCCACCCAGCCTGGCCCACCCAGCCCCCAGCCCCAGGCCCCAGTCGGGAGCTGGCTCAATCCTCCCAGTTCTTTCTAGGAGGAAGTATGCGCCCCCCAACGACCTTGCGTGGGGCGCTGTCCCCGGTGCTGATGATACAGCAGAAGGGAAAACAGGAAGCCAAGAACCCAGTTCTTTCTGAACACTGAGCTGCGAGGGTCTGGCCCATAGCTTGGGACAAGTATAGAAGACCTTCTTAGCCTCAAATGAGCAGCTCTGGCCTGGAAGGTCCTTCACTGATGACAATGGGGCACATCCCTTACCCTTTCTTAGCCTGATTTCTAACCATGGGACAAGGGAAGTGCTGCTGGGTGTGGGAGCTGCCATCTGTGACCACTGACAGGACCTCATAGAGGGGGTGACACTCAGCTCTACCACTGCTCCCCAAGAACATATGATTCCACTGTTCCTCATCTATAAAGTGGGGCGCCAGAACTCCCAGGATGCAGGTCCTGAGATGACTGATGGTGTATGGGGAAAGATGAGATTGCCTTGAATTGCCAGGGCTATCGTAGCAGCTCAGGCTCAAATCTCCCCTCCCGTCTCTCCATCTGGTGGCAATGGGGAGGGACTGAGGATCAGCCTTCTCTCTCTGCCCAGGGAAATGGGTCACCAGGATGAAGTCACTGAGGCTGGCACCAGGAAGGGACTCCATGAAGCACTGGGGAGGGGGACTCGGGCCACCTTTATCCCCCACCACACGCCATGAAAAAGGTCCCAGGGGCCCATCCTTCCAGATGCCTGCCTGTCCCCTCCCCCCAGGCTGGGGTGAAGCCCAGGGAGGAGGCACAGGGATGGATGGATGAGCCACTCAGTACATGCAGAACCCTCCTTACACTTAGCTTTGCGATCCCGAGGGCTCATCCTCACTCCAAGGTGCCTGAAAATCCTGGCTCGGATGCAGATTAACCCCAAAGCCTGTTTCCCCTCCTGTAAAATGGAGGCACCGAGGCCTCTCTTTGTCCATCCCCAGGACAGATGGAAAGAATAGAGAAGCATCACGCAACCCATGAGGCCTGCCCACGAGAGCTGACGGAGTCAGACTCCACCTGACCATGGAACCATGGATGGCGGGGGTGGTGGTGGTGGTGACAGGGCCCAACTGCACTGGAGCCAGACAGACTTCCAGGAAGCCTTGGGCCGCCTCCTTCCCGGCCCCCTGCGCTGATCTGCCTCAGCGCCCACCCTCCTCTGTGCCCTGCTCAGCAGGAGGGCCACATCCCGGATGGCTCCATGGGTCAGGCCCACCCTTGGTGCGTCACAGGAGGCCTCATGACCTCTCATGCACGCTGAACTCTGTGTACACAACGAGGGAAACTGAGGCACAAGTCCCTCCGAACTGTCTGACACGCCTGGAGCACATCTTCTCTCTGGCTCAGGGAAGGAACCATGCCAGGAGGGACAGGATGAGAAGGATATTTACACCACGCTGCTTCCTTCAAGGAGAACACAGGAGGCGCACAAGCTGTGCTCCCGTCACAGCACCCTCCCTGCGCTGCGTGGCCAGGAAGGGCAGAGAGGAGGTGGGCTCTGCATCATGCGCGCCCCCTCACCCCCGTGTCTGAATCACAGGAGCACAGTTCCCCCACACCCTGGCCATCTGCTGCGGGTGTGGGCTGCGGTGCGTGGGCTCCTGGCCTGAGGCGCTGGGGAGGGGAAGGGGAGCTTGGCTCTCACTGGGTTCTCCCCACAGTTCGGCTGCTAATGTGCTTGGCTCCTTCGCACTCAGGGCCCAGGGTGCTCACAGTGCCACTGTCTCTGAGCGCTCACATCTGCCGGGCTCTGCTCCCCAGGAAGTGAGGCAAACTCTTCTCAGCTGTGCTCACAGGCTGGGGAGGAAGGAGGCCTGCTATGCAGACAGGTGAACCAAGGCTCAGAGCTGGAGGCTGCCCGCCTAATGTCACACAGCTGCAGGGCCAGAGTGAGGCCTTCAGCCTGTGCCCTCTCCTCGGTCCTCCCCCAAACGGGCTGGGTCTCAGTTTGCTGATCTGCCACATGGGCATGGGCTGGGTGCCCTGTCTGCCTTCAGCCTGGACTTCAGGGTCAGGGTCTCCCTGTGCACAGAGCCTGGCCCTAGGGACAGCAGCAAGGTCCCAAGCCTGTACAGCCTCCCCAGGCCCTGTGAGTCCTGCTCAGCTCCCAGGCTCCACCAGCTGAGCAACGGCTATGCCTTCGGTTCCCTATTGGCAAAGAGGGCACAATAATACTGTCCCACAGCACCCAGCGAGGATGAAATGAGTGGAGATGTGTTGCAAGCAACACATGAAGTTGGTGCATGAAGTTAACAGGAGAGTCAGCCATTGCGCTGAGGACGAAGCCACTTAAATACCTCTCAGAGGGCCCCTGTTCGCCAGCTCCACCCCAACTCTTCCTGTTGAGTCATGTGGACAGGAAAGCACCTAGTGGGCAGTTAGCTACTGTGGACACAAACACGCACAGCGTACAGTGCCACAGCGTGCAGGCGGCACTCCCAGGCCCGTGTCTGAGCTCTGGCTTGGGTACTTCACCACATAGCACCAGAGGCTGCCACCCACATCTCCCTGCTGGCTACACTGCTCTCCTGCTTAAACCCGCCCACAGCCCCCCAGCCCCAACACAGAGCCCCCGTCCCTCTGGCCTCAAGACAGGACCACCTCCTCCCTCGAGGCGACAGGTCCCTCCCACCACACGCCCCAGAGGCCCAGCGCTCCTCTGACCCTCAGGCTTCCGCTCAATGCTGTTCTTTATGCCCAGAACACTCTTTCCACCCCACTGTCCTCTGCCTGCTGCCTGCTCCCCGTCCAGGTGGCCAGGAGAGGGGGGCGGCCCTGAGGCTTCTCTGCAGGGCTGCAGAACATGCACAAGCAACCACCGCGCGGCTCATTCCCTGGCTCGTTCATTCACTGCCAGTGCGGGGCGTGGCAGCACCAAGTCCTGGTCACGGACAGCAACTCTCACCTACTAGATCTCAGTGTTGGGCGAGTCGCTCGAACTCTGTCCCTCAGCCTCCTCCTCCGGAAGGTGTGGGTAACGGTACCCTGGGATATAGGAGCCAAAGACTCTGTCAAGGCTCACAAGACTGGAAGATGGTGGGACGAGTCTTACTCTCCTGTGGTACCACTGAGAGGCAGGAGAGCAGTTCCAGGGGCTGCAGTGCTTGATCAAAACACCAGCTGAAGCCACTTTGGCCGGCATCTGACCCTCTAAGAGCCTAGTAAAGGGACTGGTGACAGTGGCGTGGTGCTCATGGAATCAGTCATGAGGCCCTCACACAGGCAGGAGCGCCTGCTGCCTCATCATGCCGAGTGCCAGGCACCAGGGCCCAGAGGGGAGGAGGTCCCATGCCCGCCACAGCAAAGGTGTGCAGGGCTCTGCCAAGAGTGGGAAGAGGGGGTGCCAGGGAGCCCCATCCTGTGCCCCACCTTCCTCCCCAGGAGCCACCCAGGCAGGGAAGAGGGCAGAGCTGGCCCATCCTGGACCCCATGCCAATCTGGAGCTGTAATGAGAAGACAGATGGGTAAGGGTGATGGGAAAGCTCTCTCTGGAGACCAGCAGGGCTGCGGCCCATCCCAGGAACCCTCATGGGCCTCCGGGTCCCAAGGGGTGAATCCTCTTGCCTCTCCAGAAGGCCAGAGAACCTCTGCTACCCACATGCCCTCTGGTCCTTGGACAAAAGTCCTCAGCAAAGACAGCACCGTCATCCCTAGCTCACTTCACCCAGAAATCCTGGTGTGGGCATCTTGGCTGAACCTCTGCCATGCAGTGTGAATCGGGAAAATTCATTGGCCTCTCTGAGCCTGTTTCCCCTGGAGTAAGACAATGCTTCCACTTTGGGTTGGTTGCCTCAATCCCTATCCCTGGAGTTCCATGGAGATGATGCACCCAAGACTGTCCCTCGAAAAGGAGGCTGACCTTTGACCTCTGACCTCATCGTACCTCCCATCGGCAAAGACTTCTGCACAAAAATTCAACATGAAGGGAAGGTGCTAGGCATGGGGAATTATCAGAGCAATGCAAATAAAAGCTGCACGTCTACTGCACACCCGCAGGGACCAAGGATGCTATAAAATCCCCAAGCCCATGGCCAGGTTTACACAAAGCTGGGTGGGTGTGCAGACGCTCACAGCCACTTTGGGAAGATGTGTGGCCAGACCTACCTACCTGTGCTAAATATGCGCCCTTCATCGCCCAGGCCTCCCACTCCTCGGGACAGATCTGGAGGAAGGGCAGACTGACAGCACCTGGAGATTCCACAAAGTTAATCACAGCCACTGTGAGTGTGACACTGGCCTGGATGTCCACTGCAGGAGAATGGGTCAGAGCATGAAGCCACAGTGCAATGGGACAACAACAGCAATGAGAAATGGCAAGCCATTGTCCCCCCTGCATGGGGCTCTCCATGTCAGCTCTTTGGGTCTTTTGCAGTAGGATATGTGAGCATTTATACATCTTGGATGTAAGATAGACCCCACCACCCCCAAATAGACCACAGGGTGGACCTTGCTTTCTGCCCAAGCAGTGCCTACCAGCTGGGGGTCTCCCCTGTAAGGCTCTTCCCGACCGGGGCAAGGACTGAAAAGAACACAGGACGACAATTCCCACTTAACAGATGGCAAAGCTGACAGCTGGAGAGAAGGGGTTGTCTGAGGTCATGGCAAGCAGATGGCGGAGCCAGGGTTTAAAAGGCCAGCCTTCTTATCAGAATGAAGGGGCCACTGCTGGTGGGAGTAGGAAGTGAAGGGTCCCTAAGATGGCCTCAACTCATCCATCCTGCTCATTTTACAGATAAGAATACGGAGGCCGAGCCGGATGTGGCAGTACACTCCTGTAATCCTGGCATTCTGGGAGTCTGAGGCAGCAGGATTGTAAATTCAAGCCCAACCGGGGCAACTCAGTGACTAGAGATGGCTGGGGATGTAGCTCAGAGAAAAGGCCCTGGGTTCAATACCCCTGCCCAAAACAAAAACAAACAAACAAAAAACCAAAAGAACCCTGAGACCAGGAAAGGGAGAATCATGCAAGAACTGAGCCTATTTCCTAGGATGGAAGGCTGCACAGCTAACAGGTAGGCCCTCAGTTACCTCGGCAGCCAGCAAGACAAGCCTTTGTGCACTGGCCTGCAGCTGTCCACTTAGAGTAGACAGCCTTGGGTACTACCCTCACTTGTCTTTCCCCATCTTGCAAGTGGTCAAAGCCCAAGCCCTGCAGAGGAGCTGAGAGTTAATGAAGAAAGACAAACGTTTTAGAGCCAGAAAGGCCAAACTCTACTGCTGTGGGACCTGGGTCCTGCTTCTTAACCTCTCTGAACTTTGGTTTCTCTGAAAAGGGAGCACAGAATAGCACCCCACACACAGAGATTGTATGAAGATTAAATGAGATGATGTATAGGGGCCTGGTGTGTGTTAAGTACTCAGTAACTGTGAGCTGTAATTGCTATTCCAGCAAGATTCCTGGCTTCCTCTGGGGCTGCCATTGGGATATTCCCTGCTCCAGCCCCCACTCCAGGGTGAGGGGAGACAATCAGATTGCCGGCAGGGTTAAGGATGGAGTTTATGTTTTTAAAAAACGCCATCTAAAACCATCTTAGTTTTATTGTACACATACATTAGCCCAGAAGTGGGACACTGGGACACACACCTATGGCCCATTGCCACGTAAATGGTCCAGCTCTCTTGGAAAGTGGTTCTTGGCCACAGCCATCAAAAGTCAATATCCTCTGACCCAGTAATAGCAGCCCTGGGAATTCAGCCTAAAGAAATAATGCAATAGATGTCAAGAAAGCAAAACACAGCCCTCCGCACAAAACAGATTGGGCAGTGAGCATCCAGAAGAAGAAACAGCCCACATCCCCAGTGACAGAGCTGGTCAAGTGATGAATGCACGACGGAGCCGGGAAGTCACTAAAATGGAAATTGCCCAGCGGCTCTAACAATGGCTGCACATGGATGGGCAGAGGGGCTGCAAACAGGAGGAAATGGCGGAATTAAATGTAATCCCATCAGCCTTTTGACATTTTCAACCACAACAACAAAACATAAAAAACAACCAGTTTCTCCAAAGCCCTCAAATGTGCCCACAACAAGGGGTCTGCAGGGAGCCCCCCGCCAGCCTGGCCTTCCCGTCCTTCCCCACCTTTTGTAGTCTGTTCTGATAGGGACAAGATGAATCGGAGATGTGCAGGTGGCCACGGCCGGGTGAGGGTCATGGGAGCATGGGTGGGGTAGAAGGGGACAGAGTGAGTTCGGGGAAGACTTCTGGGGGAGGTGACTGCAGTACAGACTCTTCCAGGAGAGGCAGGATTATGCGGGAATCTGGGCAGAGGCAGAGACCTGAGAGGTGGATGAATCCCAAAGGGCAGCCTGGAGAGTTTGTACCCCGTACCCCTGGAGCTGCCTGGCAGAGGAGGAGGAGGAGGAGGAGGAGGAGAAGATGTGCGGGAGGTGGGAAACCAGAGAACAACTGAACTGGGCCAAGAGGCAGGAGGACCCCAGCACAGCCCCCAGAGCACCTCAAGAAGCAGGTGAGCAGGGACCCTGAGTTCCAGTTGGAGTGGAACGGGGTGTGGTATAGGACCAGGGATGGGCAGAGGCAGCTGCTCAGCAGGCAGCAGGGTCTGTGGGTCTGGAAACAGATTTGGTCAAGGCCCACTGTGCGGTGGGTGGTAGAAGCTCAGGGTGTGGCTGAGATCACACAGGGAAAAGGAGAGGGACATCTGGGAAGCAGAACTGAGAGCAGGAGGAAGGGCAGAGGGAGACGGGGAGGAGCCAAGGGCATGAGGTGTTCAGGGGAGAATGAGGAGGGTCCGAGGGCAGAGGAGAGTCAGCAAGAGAAAGACCGAGAAGTCCTAGCTCAGTTCATCAATTCTCGGGATGTGAGCAAAAGCACTTTCAGGGCAGCGGTGGCAGAGAGGGCAGACCCTGAAAATCTGGAGGCTTTTGAGGATAACAGACGAGAACAGAGCGGAGAAATGAAGAGTGGCTAAAGGGGACCCAGCAGAGACCCATCGTCTGACCCTGCACCTGCTGGCTCCAGACCGTAGCTCCCACCACATACCCACAAGGGACAGCCAGGCTCTTTCTTTCTTCATGGCCGCTGCACACTGAAACATGAGAAGGTGTGTGTGGGGAAGCCAGGGCTCCCTGGGTCTGGAAGGCTGACCTGCTGCCAAATTCCAGGATCCCCCCGGCCTCAGCAGGCTCCCAAGAGGGGACACCACCCTGCCAAGTGCCGCAGGTGCCAGGGAACAGGTCCAGGGCCAGCCTGGCCGCGCCAGCCCCAGACGTGGGAGGAGCCACCTGTGCCATCTGGGTGTGGGGGCAGGGCCCTGGCAGGCAAGAAGAGGTTGACCTGATATCAAATTATTTTTATATTAATAAAATCTGCTTCCTAAAAGGAGAGTTTGTTCCTGTTTTTATTTTTGGTTGAATTTTAGAAATTAAAAACACTGTAGCATATTGTTAAAAAGAGTAATCACTCGAATTGATGGAGCAGACCTCTGTGCCAGGCACCATTCTGGCCTTTTACATAAATTGACTCCCTCATCCTCCGCTGCCCCAGTGAAGTCCATGCTGCTCTTACGCCCACTTTACAGGTGAGGAAACTGAGACTCAATTCACTTTGGACTTCAAGCTTTCCCCTGGCCATCTTTGCTGTTCTAGGCTCTAAGATGGCCAACCCTGAACCCCCCAACCTCCTCCTCCTCCTCCTCTCCCCACCCTTGCACATGGACATCGTCTGTTCTGCTGGCCCAAGGATTTAACCTGGGGTGGGGGGTCCCCATGCATTTTCTTCCTCTGGCTTGCCCTGCCACACTCAGGCTGGGAGCAGGTAGCAGGGGGAGCTGGCACTTTGGCCTTTCTGTCACCTTCTTCTGCAGACCTAACACTCTTCCTTGTGGTCTGGGAATCAGTCCCCGGCAGATGTCCACAGCTGCTGCTAGCACCCGGTGTGACTGTCGGACCTGAACCTCTGGACACCTCAGGTTTGTTCCTACAGGAGGAAGGTGGCTGCAGGATGCCAAAGGAGAAATGTCTGACCCAGGATCACCCATACCAAGGGGGGCTCCCGCTGCCCCACCACCAGCCTGAGCCAGGAAAGTCTGGAAAAGGTGAATGGAGGAGGAGGGCTGGGATGGGATGGGAGGGGTGGGTGGGGTGTGAGGCCCTGTTCACTGCCGCACTGTACCCCAAGAGCCTCTTTTTAGGGGTCAGAGGCTGTGCCCGCACTGAGCTCCTGAGGAGAGGCCAGTAGTCTGAGCCCATTCATTCAAGGGTGGGAGGTGGTGAGGGGCACTCCTTCGCTGCTCTTCGTTGGAGAGGAAGACCCAAGGTCCCTCGGACAGCACATCCTATCTCCTGACCATGGGGTTTGGGCTGGTGCCGTCTTGAGGGCTCCAGAAGGAACAGCTATGATCTTTAATGAGATCCCAGTATGTGCCAAGCATTTTCACACACTTGTTTCAGTTGATTTCCACCAGGAGTGGATGCGGTTGGACCCATTTTACAGCTGCAGAAACCGAGGCTGGGGCGGTGCCTGGAGAGGAAAGGGACTCAACACCAGTCCTCCCAGCGCGCCCGGGGTGCCGCCGTCACGATGACAGACGACGCTCACCTGTGCCCCAGCCAGGCACCCTCCCA